TATATATCCATCTTAAAAAATGTTAAACTTTAAGTCAATTCAAGCATTTCAATTTGACATAAAAGACAAGATCAATACTTATCTGGCATATCAGCTGGACGAACAGTCAGAACGATTAAATCATTTCACAATTCAAAAACTGGCTTCAGTTTGTTGAAGGGCAGTCAATTAATCTACCAGATACTACCTGTAAATAAAGCCCTTTTTACAATTATTTTAAAGAGGGTTACAATATGGTTCTAGTGACATAAGCTGCTGACAAATGTACCCTTCATGGGCTGCAACTGAACTGATTCAAGGTGGCACAATTTATTGTCTGTGCGTTTTCCTCTGGCTTCATAAAATTATTGCCGTCACAAAATTTGTGTTGTGTAATAATAATAATAATAATAATAATAACAATAATAACAATAATAATATACAAACTGTCTTGGTGACCCCAAAGTTCGACACGATGCTCTGAGGGTGTTCTGAGGCGTCAGAAAACTGAAGACACTCTCTAACTAAATGCCTGTTCATGGGTCTCTCAACAGGTTATGAGACCATGAGCCTTGCAAATACCTGACATAAGAGTTCAATCCTCCCTACGCTAAGGAGTGGAAAAGATAGAGACGCTAAGAAAACAAACGAGCAGGCAAATGAAAATTACCTACCTCATTTTAATTTATCATGTCGTTAATTGATTTATAGCGACAGGCCTACCAAAAAAGCACAACTACAATTTCTCACTGTAAACAATATTAGTCAAAACCTCTGGCATGAAACTAGTTGGTGATAAGCATTATTGTTTTCGTTTTGGACAACATGTATTATGTAGRTGGTAAAATTTGGAATTGCAAAACTCAACACGCAGCAACAATATGGGTGGGTCACAGTGGCAGAAATAAATGCCCCCAGTGTGAAAAAAAAAAAAAAAAACTGAATATACAGATACAGTCAGCAAGACCGAGTGGGAAATCTTACTTCCTCAAGGTTCTCAGAGTGAAAAACGGATCCAACTCTCACTCGTGAAGCAAAAATTATTTTCCACCTTCAGCAACAACTTGGTGTGAAATGAAGATGTCAGTGATTTCAGGAATCACAGGCTCCATGTTCCCACGCTACTTTCACTCATTCAACTTGACGTACTTAAAAAAATACAAGAACAAAACTTATATGACTTTATCCCCAGGTTAACACTTGCTGAGAGAACTATGTCAGGTCATCGGACTGATGGAAATGAAAAAKAAGTGGCTCAATCTGCATCGACAGCAGGTGCGGACATCACATCKGTTTTAAAGATAATAAACAAGCTAAATCTTCTCCAGTAGCAGGTGRTCAAATATATTAGTAAAAAGCTAACAGAGGAAAAGGATCTTAAATTAAAAAAAGGTATTTATAGTCTAATATGGAGCATTCCTGTTTGTCTTGAGCAGTTTTGGGCACCTTACATGTGCATCACTGATCTATGACACCTAAGGCAGGTATTAAATTAGTAAACACCTCAGCTGTGTGAGCTAAGAGCCTTTCAGTGTAGAATTTCATCTTTCCTTGCTGTATAAAGTTTAGGTCAGTGAAAATCTTAGTCCCTTTCTGAAATCCACTCCTAGGACTTTCCATAGGCTTCCAACACTTTTAGACACGAAAACTGGAAGCGTCCCAGTAAAACATTCAGTTCACACAACTTAAAACAGCCATGTGTTGAGTTTCTTTTTTGATGTGTCGTTATCTTCTTGTAAAAATCTTCCGCAAATTATGTTCTTTTTCTTTCTTTTTCTTTTTTTTTTTACAGAAGGCGTAGCGTCTACTCCAAGACTTGGTTTTAATTTTTTAATTGACTCTTTCCACAATCAGTGAAATGTCTACTGTGCAGTTAGACAAACCTTAACCAATCTTCTGCCATTACCTACGAAGTTAAACCCCACACCCTTTTTTACAACAAATTTGCTTGTTGCGGTCGTTAAACTYCACATGACGTTTTTTCGGTCCAAAGTTCTTATCAACCAACGCCAAAATGCACAAGGGTAATAATATTCTCCCTGYGTCTCCGTGTGTCATTGGTTGTTTRCATCYAATACATTTTTGAAGGCCACCACAACCAACTGATCTGGGAAAATACAAAAATGTTTATTAGCTCAATCAATTTAGCTCCAGTCTGTTGCAGCTGTAGCTGAGAATGATTCATAAWGCACACTGTGCCAACAGTTCTTACCTGCATGAGACTGGGAATAAAGTCTGTTACAAGGGTTTGATCAAACAGCTGAACTCGGTTATTTCTAATCACAGCATGATTTTGGTTCATGACTTTGGCTTCAAATGCAGCCAGCAATACGCATTACTTCAATAAAGGCCGGCTTTCACACCTATTAGGGAGTAACTATAYTAAAAATTTTCTAAACACAAACCATGATCAATGAATTGATTTAAAGCGAGGAAAAAGCTTCACGTAAAGCAACCAAATTGCATAAAATATAAAAATTATTTTAATACAAGATGGTCTAGTTGGGGTTCATCAAAAAGAGCACACACAAAATGTACTTTTACCTCTTTTTGACCTTTATTTAATGTGAGTTTATAGGGAGKCGAAAGCCATACATTCTCAATTTAGCCATATTTTTAGAACTTTATATTACAATTCCACCTTTAATTATAAAAGGTACTGCATAAAAAGTCACTGCAWATTCCCTGTTAGTATCAAACATTGAAATGCAATCGGTCACTGATTTTTATAAACACGTTCAGTACATCTCTCCCCCCCCCCAAAAAAAAAAGCAGAACTAGCTCACACTCATAACAAAAGTGCACATAAACATTTGCAACTAGATCCCTATCTCATCTTTTCTAGAACTCATTAGGTTGGTACAAATGTTAGAAAAAAATCCTCTTATTACATTTGGACTCCCTAAACTCAACAAAATGTATAACATTTAGAATAAAAAATGTGGCTGTTGTGTTAGATTAAAGAAAAAAACACTGCTATTTTTTGCTCTGTTTTCTAGGTTAGTGTTGTGTAGATCAGTGGTTCCCAAACTTTTTTTTATCTTCTGACCCACAAAATATC